ATCATTTTTCATTCTGTTTCTATTATCATTCCATAAAAATAATTGAAAATCAGGAGAAATCAGGAGAAAAGCTTAAAAATCAGCTCCTGAAATCAGGAGAATTTTCATCAGGAGAAAAGTCTAAAAATCAGGAGTCTCCTGGTCAAATCAGGAGATTTGGGCACTCTGGACACAACACACAAAATCTGGTCCTTCCTTTGAAATAGTTTGGAACTTCTCATACTGTTTGACATAAAATGGGCATAAATTGCCTGCAGTCTTTTCTTCTGTCTCACGTATTTTCTTTATCTTTACAGTGAAATGAACTTTAAAGTTGTTTGGGTGTTAAAAGCCAGGTTTTTTGGCATACATTATTAAATGTCAGTTATGTTTCACCTGGGTGTTATTGATTAAAAATAAGATTAAATAAAAACGAAAATAAAAACACATGAGTTCAACGAGCGTTTTCATAATCTACAGCCATGCTACTCTATTTTTCTGAAAGTCTGAGTCAAATAACTGTATACCTTTTAGAAAAATAGTAGTGATACTCCTTAACGACGTAAAACAATAGATGTCTGTAGAGAATGCTAGCTACAATCAACTCTCATGTAACTTTCCTATTCGCTTAGGTGTTATGCATGAAATAAAATAGTAAAACATGGATAACAATTTGTATAAGTTATCCAAAAGTTTTGTAATTGACGAACAAAGATGACTTAGAGGGCTTTATAAATTGAAAACCACTATTAAAGATATTATATAAGCATTTATTTATCCATTCATTTCATTTAAAATCTTGCACAAACATGCACAAACGAAACACGCCAAAAAAGGTGGGTTTGATTTTATCGTCTGTAATAACATTCGTTACAAAGCTTTTTTTAATTTTCCATTTTTAGATTGGCGTTAATACGACTGAAGAAACGTCAGATTTTATAAAATATAAAGATAAGCCCAACGCTGTTCCATCATCAATAGGAGCCACAGATAAATGGCGAATATTCATTTGGACCTCCGTTTTATGGTCAATTATTTTATGCTTCTTGCTATTTATGTTAATCACCTTTTATCCAACAGAATGTCAAACAAATGAAATATTAAAAAGTATTTTAAAAAACGATTAAAAAACAGATCCAGGACCAGAAAAAATAATTGTAATTTATTTCTCTCTTTCTAGACGCATTATGCTCAGTCGGAAAAGCTTTTACGACGTACTGTGATAAGCAATCATCGAGCGAAAATATACAAATAGTTAATCGTAAGAAATCATGACAATCTTTTTCAATATAGAAAAGTAGTAAGGCTCAAATCTCTAATAGCGCGAGTTAGTTCATTTATTAGCGCAATGAAACCAACGAGGATTATGCATGCAAAAGAAATTTTTTAATACGTTCTCTAAATATCATCTTATTATTGACAGAAATTTTCTCTCACTCATTTAACTACTTTTTTATCAATATTCTAGGAAAAGCTGATCAAACAGTGACTACAACAACTTTAAAACCCTCTTATTCCAAATCATCTGACTGGTCTAAACAATATCGCGATAGTTATTCAACATGTAATAGTTTCGATAAACAATGTGTGAACGTTGATAAATATATTATTAATTCAGAAAGTATGCTCTTAGTATGTCCTTATCTCATATTATTAAACTTATAATAAGTGTTGTTTAGCTTCGAAAAATCCTCGATACTATCCGGGTGAAATGGGTAAACCCTATTCGTTAGCCGATAATATGCAAGACGAATCAAAACGACGTTTCTCTGAAAATATGTTTGATATTGTTGTATCAGATCATATTGCGTTAGATCGAGCAATGCCAGATATAAGAAATGATCAGTATGAAATATTTTGAAGAAAAAAAAATCAGTGTTTTGTTTCTAAAAAACAATGTACACAACCATAGATGGAACCGGTTCGTGTTTTTATCCCGTAGAACTTGCATCTATTAGTTTACCTACAGAAAAGGCGTATTCATTAGTAAAAGAGTTCGTATAGTAACAGGTTCGATACTTGCTTGCTATCTAGCTCGATTATAGAAATATTTTAGAAGAATCTATATTCAATCTAATCTCTATAGGATCTATCCATGATAATGAAGATGCAATCATTCATCAATGATTATGCGAAATTCTTGCCATAGATGGATGACAGAATGATGTTTCTGTGAATAACTTCTATTATGTTCTTCGCTTCAACAACACCTATTTTTCAATAATCTACACATATTTTGCGATCTGTAGTATTCGCAATTTATAAATAAGAAATTATCATCACATTAGCTACAGTACTGTCAAATATGATCAGTTCCGTGTACCATTTCCATTCTGAAACAGAAAGTTCTACACCAATAACATTTATTTAATCCTTCGATCTTTTCATTTTATTTTGATGGATAAATGTTTCTCTTTTTTTAGTTGTAAAGCTCGATCCGTATTTGAATCAAATCTACCTAATACAAGTATAATTATTGTATTTCATAATGAAGGCAATTCGACATTATTAAGAACATTAGTTTCGATAATTAATCGTACGCCATGGAAATTGATTCATGAAATTATTTTATTAGACGATGCTAGTGTCGATAGAGGTATACAGATGTAAATATTAGTAATAAACAAAAGAAGAATTGAACAATTTCCTTTTCCTTTTGCTGTAGAATATTTACATGAACCATTAGAACAATTTATATCAACGTTGCCGCTAAATATTAAACTCTTTAAAAATGAAAAACGTTTGGGATTAATTAGTTCACGTGTGAAAGGTAAAATTTAATTAAAATAAATTGTATGTAAATAATGAACAAACGATCCACTATCTTTTTACATAGTAGGCGTGTTCTAGTAGAAAAAATCTGGCATAATGGAGAAAATAAATCCTGATGAAACTCAGATGTGAACGTTTTTGAGCGATGCTCTTCTCACTAAACATATTAACAGAGTTTTGTCAATATTGGAAGTATGTTTATCAGATAACTGTAGAATTCTCGTGGTCGGGAATGATAGAAAGTTTTTCAATTAAAAGGTTGTACAGAGAACTGTTCGACGAACATTTTGAAAGATAAAATTCAATTGTAAAAAATCATATATTTCTGTTTATTCTTTTCAATTTGAAATAATGAACCTCAGAAAAGAGATAAAACATTCAGAAAAGGGTTTAAAATGCACAAACATATGGGTTTATTGGAGTTTGAAATAAAATCATAACTCTTTAACAGCTTTATTAAGCGACTTTTCTAGATTTCTAAGTGATTTTTATCTGTCCTTCTAAACTGAAAACTGTACTACCTTCAGGCATTAACTAGATATTTTCTCTTTTGAGTATAGATCTGAATTCTATCGGGAATCGTTTTCTTCTTTATTCTAAAAAGAAGCCAAACGTTTTTATTCAAGTGCAATAATTTCTGTTAGCACTTGTTTACTGAACGTATATGCACAAATAAGAAGCGGTTTGTACGGAAAATTAATGACTTAACGAATAAGAAAGATGTAAATGTCTTATTTTAGCTGCCAAAATGGCTACTGGTGAAACGTTAATGTTTTTGGATTCTCATGTTGAAGTGTTAAACGGATGGCTATTGTATTTATTAGAAGAAATTCATAAAGATCGGTATGATTTGAAAATTGAGAAAGAAAATAATTTATATCTCTTATTTTACTAGGAAAACAATTGTGTGTCCGATAATTGATGTGTTAACGTGGGATGCTTTAGAATTATTACAGGGTGCTACAGATATCTTTGGTACATTCAGTTGGAAAATGATATTTCGCTGGTCTAAACTACCGGATGGAACTCAGACTGATCAATCAAAACCTGTTCGGTAGGAAATAGAAATATGTGTTACTTCTTTGATATATTGTCACTGCGCATTTTATTCAAAGTTTTTTTCTTAAGTTAGAAGAAGAAAAATATGCTAGAAATATTACTCTTAAGCTGGTGTGTTTTGAAAGATATACTGTTTTGCATTCTAGTACCCCAGCAATGGCCGGTGGTTTGTATGCAATTGATCGACTATATTTTGAAGAGTTAGGTTATTATGATGAGGGCATCAAAATCTGGGGCGGAGAAAACCTAGAAATGTCGTTCAAGGTATAATATATAAAAACAAAAAGTATAGTTCATAGACACCGCTTATCGAAATATTGTTTTGGATAGGATTTAGTACGTTTTTCAATAATGTGATGTTGTTGTTTTTTTCAGACTTGGATGTGTGGTGGACAAATTCTTATTCATCCCTGTTCACATGTCGCCCATATATTTCGTAAAGAAACACCGTATAAATTTTTAGATAGTGAAAGTATATTTGTGACAATATTTAAGAACTATAAACGTGTAACGTTAGTTTGGTTAGATGAATACAAACAACTGATATACGCTGTAAATCCAGGTAGAATAGAAAAAGAGAGATTGTCTTGTTTGTCTCTCTTTTCATGAAGACTATGTGTGTCTTCTGTATACAATTCATTTTTTTTCTTTTATTTTCTTCTAGACATAAAACGTTTGGATGGTGGTGATGTATCATCTCGTATTGAATTACGAAAAAATTTAACTTGTATAACATTTCGCCAATATCTAGAAAGATTTCAGTTAAAAAATTTTCCATCGTCTTATCGATGGATAGGAACAGTGGCCAATATCGATCACCGTTGTTTGGACTCAATGCTTGGACCAGACATATCAAAAGGTGTAAGAGGTTTTGTATCAGCTCAAACATGTCATATGGATGGTGGAAATCAAGTATTTATGTATACAACGACGAAGAAACTTCAGTTTGATGAGTTATGTTTGGAGCCAAATGATCAACAAACAACGGATAAACAACGACGAATTTTGTTTATTATTTGTGAAGAATATCGACAAGAACAAAATTGGAATTATAATGAAGAGGTAACTTCTAATGCTGCAGAAAAAAAGAAATGAATCATCTTTTTATTTTTTTAAAATCTAGACAAATCAACTTGTACATGAAAAAACAAATCATTGTCTTGATGTGATAAAAGATACGATTGTTGTTCTTGGTAAGAATGAACATGTTTTACAAATGAATTAGATAATTGGATTAACTAAAATTCTGAGAATTTTTTTATCACTAGATTTATATTATATTTGTTTAGCTAAATGTAACAATGAACGCCGTTCACAAAAATGGTTATTCGGAAGAGAAGTTGAATTGTATTTATGAAATATATACTCTACCAATTGTGGAAACTAAGTGTACAACTAATACTTGTTTGCATTCCTCATTTTTTTTCTTTTGTTTTTTTATTGTTTTCTCTGTCTTGCATATTTTGTTTGTCTATTTTTTATCGATTATTTTTAATTCGAATCTCTTTCATAATATTATTCAAAACTATGTATTTTCAGAACGCAACAAAAACAAAAACACAACGAATTTTTCATTCTTTGTTGTAGTTACTTTTTAAAACTGTTTTCAAATTTTTTTTGTTGCTTTTTTAGGGAATTAATATTATCTTGATTTTTAAACTCGACTTTATTTATACCTATTGAACTTGCTTTTACCGCTTGTTTAGTTGCGATAAAGTGCAAATCTTGAAAACTTGAATTAGCTCTTATTACGCGCACAGTCCTAGAGACTACCTTTCTGTATCATTTCTCTCATTACAGCTGAGAGTATATTGAACATGTCATGAAACCAATTTGTTAATTTAATCTTCAGAAATAGTCATTCATCCTCTTACTAATCATTGTCCACACGCATCTAGGCAAAAAACATCTCAATTGTCAAAAACATTCTCGATGATTTGTGCGAACTATTGCTGTTAGAAAAAGCAAATGTTTTATCTTTTTCCTAGATCCATAAGGACGTTGATCAGTAGGATGACCGTTTCTGAAGATTAAATTAACAAATTTGGTTTCATGACATGTTCAATATATTCTCAGCTGTAATGAGAGAAATGATACAAAAAGGTAGTCTCGAGGACTGTGCGCGTAATAAAAGCTAATTCAAGTTTTCAAGATTTGCACTTTACCGCAACTACACAAACGATAAAATAAATGAATCGATATTATTTTCATGTTTCTATTTGTTGAGTCTTGTTTATGTTGGTGACAAAAAAATGCTTGAATATTATATTGTAGTCCTTCTACAGAATTCTATATTGTATTTTGAGTATATATTGAGGTTTAGCTATGTATGTAGTTACTTTTTGGGGAGACAATTTGATCATTCATGTTATATTCGGTATTGTTATTTTTCTACAATACACTTATTCAAAAGGATTATTTAAAAGAACTGCTGATAATCAAAAAATGAATTAGCCAGATTTTCTAATTTTTCGATTTATCGTGTCGTGTTATAGTGAGTCGAGCATTTTAACTGAAAAATCTAAAAGGATGACTCATCTTTTCCTAGATAATCTTATTTTTTAAAAATACGAAAAATGCACATTAAAAAATAGACTCTGTTGCGTTATTGTTGTATGCCTTGGTTTCGATTCTAAAAGAACTATGTTTTTACTGATACTTTAGTATGGAGAAATTTACCAAACGGTAAAGGTCAGTCATAGAAGAAAGATGGCCGAAGTTATCATCTTTTTTGCTCTGTTGGGTTTTTTCTACTTTTTACACTCATTTTTAATACAATCGCATCAACGAAGTAGCTATTAACACTATTTTCTTTCTTTTTTTGATTTTCTATTTTTCTTTTTTTTACTGTTTTATCAAAAATATAAGCCAAGTGGCAATGAGATATCTTCTGTTCATTGACAAATATTATGAGAAAAAAAAGGAGCTTCTTTCCGCCTTTTTCGCGACATTTTTTGCGGAATTTTATGTATTTTTCAACTGTGATATAATGGTGCGTGGCCGAAGTCGTATCCATCATTTCTAAGATGGTTATGGTTCGAACATTTTTACGAACCGTTGTTAGGCTGTTTTTTTTTGTGCAGAAAAACATGTTTTATTTTGTATTGTTAGGTTGTCAGATTCAATTTTTAGTATAGTTTAAATACTAATTTAGTTATTGTATTTTTGTTTTACTTTCCTCGATAAATTAAGAATAAATAGATAAACCATCTTTAGAGAAAGTATTAATTTAAGAAGTTTTCTAATCACTATGAAATATGCACCAGTCTTTCATAATTGTCTATTATTTAGATTTTAAACATCAACGTTACCGTATTTTTGCTCAAAACTAATGTCCAAACTCTCTTATTACTTTTATTTCAATAAATAACTCTAGTTTTTCTAATGACAAATCACCAAGCACAACATCAACAACAAGAAGAATTTGTACCAGCTGGACGATATAGAGGAGGTCCACATGGTGTAGGTAGGACTTTGATTATTCGTTAAATTTTCTCGACAACTATGCACTCTTCTACAATTATTTGTGATGTTACAAGTAACTAATTTCCAAGAGAACTCTACTTATTTCTGAATGTATCAATGACTGTTTAATTTTTCGTTCTTCACTAATTTTTATAACGTATACTTAACTTGAAATTTATTTAGGTGATCCAGATGATAAATCTCTACGACATGTTGAATTAGAAGTATGTATACCTCAAATTGTGCGCGATCGTGGTCATCGTTTGAAATGTTTTGACTTCGTACAAGGTAATATATCCATACATACATACATACACATTATAAATGAAAAAGTCATATTTTTAAATGTGTTATCGTCCATTTTCTAGCATTTGGAAAATGTGGCGAAGAACATGGAGGTTTTATGGCTGTTTTCAAATGTCGAAAAGAATTAAAACAAATGAATGATTGTTTAACAAAATGGTATATTATCGTTCACTTGCCACTTGAAAATAAAATGACTACTAAAATTCTTCTTTCATTTAGGTTTCAAGATGAAGAATTTCGTAAAGAATGTACCGATATTTATTTAGATGAACGTACAAAATATCGTTCGACCGGTGAAGTGACTCATCATATTAAACGACCCTATTATTATAATCCAGAAAAAGAATTAAAACGTCTTGGCAAATTAAAAGAGGAATATGATAGACTCGAAAATAAAACTTAGTATTTATATTTTTCTTCATCGATTTTTTAGATAAAATTTATAGTCGATTTTTTTCTGTAGAAAGTTTGTTGCAGTTCAAAATTATTTGTTTAAACAGATATCAGTATAATTGAATGCTGCTTGGTTTCATAAATACATTTGTATGATTCTCAAAGACCAATACATACAAGTTTTGCTGAAAGAGAATGAAAAAACACTGCTCTTAAAGTTGACTAGAAATATAAAAACATAATTGTCATTCTAGTGCTTCAGTTAATTTAGAATACAAGACGTCGTCTGATAAAAAGAGTACCCACAGATAATGGGAGACGTCTACATTTAGATCAGAGTTCGATCTGGACTAGATATGCACCGATTGTGAGACACACAATTCGTACAGTCTACAATATAACACCTGTATATCCCGACAAGTGTCTTATTTTTCAATAGTATAATGTTTATTATGAATCTTATGCAAGATATCTGGTATTCAAACAATAAGATAGTATGCGACCTTTTATGATGGATACAAACAGAAAACAAAAATTCTATAATCTCCGTTGAAAGATTCATCAAGATAGAATTTAGAGATGAGATGAAAGACTAACGTTATATTTCTTCGTTCTTTTTGTCTTGTGTCTAGTTATTAGTTTTCTTTCATTGTTACGTTTGATATATAGCAAGACATGTGTTCTCACGAAAAAAAATGTTAAGGCGAAAGTGTCACTTTCATTCATTTCATATTTGTTTATTTTTTTCTTTCGTCTATTCGTAAGATACATTAAAGAAATTAATGAAAGTTTCATGTGAGACAAAGAGAAGCAAGTAAACAGCAAAGAAATTACAGATTTCACAAAATTTGTTTTAAAAAAATGCTTTCTTTAGACATTCTGATAACCACCTGATATTTTCTTTCTGCTTGCCTATGGGTACATCATCATTGTCTCATATCTCATGCTTTTTATCTTCTCCGGAGTTAACACAAAGACAAATTTCAGTCAACTTTTCGGTCTGGAGTAACACGGTCTTTTGGTTAAATTTTGAATATAAATCACAGATTTGAGCTTCTTTTTCTTTTAACTGCTGGACGGTTTGTTAAAATAGAATGAACAGAAGAACTCGTTTGTGGAGATGGAGAAGTGACTTGCTGTGTCATTGATGTAAGAGATGGCGTGGTAGTAGACATTCGAATGATTTAGACAAAACTTTTTACAAACCGAGAAAATTTATTTGATGGAGCTAGGGTGAGAGCAGCAGGATCCAGAGAAATGTAACAATAGTTATAAATGTTATGCTTTGTTTTCCTTCTAACTTTTGACATTTTTTTTTCTTGTTCAAGGAAAAGGAAGAATGACTCATATTTTCACAAATTGTGAAAGTTTGTCTATTCACTTCCACTTTGTATGAAAATATAGAGTAACTTGGGGTAATTCCGATCAGTGGTTTTAATTTTTGTAGTATTTTTGATAGCATAAAGCTATTTTAGAACGGAAAAAACTGCTATTGCATAGATAGATAGATGCGACTCTTAGCTATCTATTCATTTAAAAATTTCCTAAAAATTCATTATGGTTAATTAGTTTCGTGAGTTTTCCAGCGCCATATCGGCTGGTGATCGGAATTCTCCCAGTGAGAGACGTGTACTGATCGGAATTACCCCAAGTTACTCTATCTAGACACTTTCATGATAAATGAAAGTTCGTAAAAACGAAACAGAAATGAATAGCCACAAGATATTTTCTTTTCCATTTCGTCGCGTGGCTATATACGAAAGGAAAGAAAAGAAAAAACGTCAGTGGTCACTTACGTTAGTGAGTTCTTACGAATACGGTCTCATCTCTAATCTTATTGTTTGAATGCTAGATTGGTCTCTATTTCATTTCCGTCAAAAGTTATTCAAAAAATGACCACCGACACTGTATTTTGGGATGGATAGTAGTTAAAAAATGTACAGAAGATTATAACACGAAATATCGTGCGAACAAAACAAAATATCGATATTGACCGAAACCGAATATACCAGTACTGATACATGCCTAATATAGATCGACCGAGTTTTATGCCTCTTATTCCAGAAAATCGATAATATTTTCCCATGTTTTAAGCAAAATTTGTTGAATTGCATCAGTTTTATTTCAAAAATAGTTAAAAAATGTCTGACGTATTTTACTGGTGCGGTTGAAAACTACATAGGAGAATTAGTCTTGTTCTTTATACCTCTCACGATCAAATTTATTATCAGTGATCATCCATCTACTTCTCTCTCTTATTCTTAAAAATCCGTGATCTCCATTTTGTTTGAGCTTCCCCACACAATGAAAAAAAGCTCTGCAAAACAGGCAGAAAAATTCAACAAAAGCTATTTCATGATTTTAACTGTTACTTTTTTGTTAGTCATGGATGGAAATCGAAAATGCTTAAGCACGTTAAATTATGACACAACAAATAAACAAACAAATAATAATTCATGACTGCTATTGTATGTGTGGATGTCCATGTTTGTTAAATATATTATCTGTTTTGCTAGTCCGTCAGACATGTCTCAGCTGTTTTAGTCAACGTCAAGTAGAACGAGTTACAGTTTTGCATCAATATCAAGTACCCAAGTAGACAAAGTTTTTTGAAAACGCGTTTAAGCACACAAAAAAAGACGAAAAATCTAGAAAAAGTGGGCGTGTTTGGATGACCATCGGGGTTCCCGACTGTGAGCGAAAAACGCCCATTTTTCCCCCTTCTGGTGCGTTTACACGCGTTTTCAGCCAAAAATGCGTGTAAATGCATAAAAAAAGTGGTCGTTTCTTTCATACTCGAGAACCCTAACTATGATCCCGTCACTGGTAACGACTATGAGAAAAATGACCACTTTTTCTGTTTTTTTTATGCATTTACACGCTTTTTTGGCTGAAAACCCGTTTAAACGCAACCAGAAGGAAGAAAATTGGGCGTTTTTCGCTCACAGTCGGGAACCCCGATTGTCATCCAACCACGCCCACTTTTTCTAGATTTTTCGTCTTTTTTTGTGCGCTTAAACGCGTTTTCGAAAAGTTTGTCTGCTTGGGTAGCGACAGTGTTTCTGATTTCTGCACGAAAACAAATAATATCGTACTGAATTTCAAGCTCCGAAATGATCGTTCTAACATGTAGCTGATAAGCTGTATAATAAACGCAGCTCACCGGTTTCATAAACATCCTACTTTGCGGATTTTGTGCCATATTTCCTATTTTTTGTGTTGTTTTAGTATATTTTCAGAACAAAAATTTTCGAATCATTTTAGATATAGCTCGGTTTACCTAAGGTAGCAAGTATAGCTAACGCTGCAACATTTTCTAGATGAACAGCTGGAAAAGTTAGATATTACAGGTTATTCATATAGTAGCTGGTTAAAAGCTTGCATAAATTAAGAACAAATTCAAAAATTCAGGAACAATTTAGAAAGCGAAGTTAGAACAACTCGAACATATTTTGTGAAAATGTCGATTAAATTCATTTTGAACATGTATGTTAAACACGATACAATATCAATTTACTTTTCTGTTGTCTTTGTACTTTGTTTTTATTTACTTAGTAGTTCCATTTGATCATTAATGCACGTCCACTCATTTCTTCTCTTGTTACAAAATCGTAGCCGCTGATCAGAGATAATTAGAACTTTTAGTAGAGTATCTTCCCGAAAAATATAATAGACATATTTTTTGCTCATACCTTAGAACTCACTTTCAAAAATATGATTTCATGAAAAAGCAGGTTTTTCATTCGCACCGACGCCATCAAAACTTTGTTCTTTAGTGTTCAACATTTTACCACAGATACTAGGTTCCAATACGTTGTTTTCGATGTGGCTGTCCAGCACCGTTACTACACGATAGGCAATGAAAAATCTGGTTTTTCAGTAAATCATATTTAAAAGTGAGTTTCAAAGTATTAGCAAAAAATAAGTCTGTTTTATTTTTCGGGAAGACACTCTAGTAAAAATTCGGTTTGGACTCAACTGAGATACAAATTATATTTTAATCAAGTATCTCAGTTGAGAAATCAATATTTCTGCGAAAACATTCGTTTCTTAACTGAAATACATTTTATAAAATATGGACTTCACGAATTTCTTAACTGAGGTACAATTACACGTGCGTTGAAACGTACTATTGTGCAAGGATGGGGTGTACTAAGATCTATTATTCAATAGCAAATGAACTGAAATTAGGTATATGATGTATCTCTGTTGACTATCTGAGGAATTATTGCTACATTACATGGTCAAATATTGTGTATTTTCATGTCCATTGATACTGCTTAACACGTTATTTTATCAGTTTTTAAAACAATTGAACAAGAACAATCATTAACTATACAAACCCATCTTTCATTTCCATTTTTATTTCTACATTAGTGACGAAAAAGATTTTCTTAATATAATATGGCAGGAGTGCCTCTTTGAGTTTCTTTTCGAACAAAATCCATTTCTGTTTGAAATATGTCTTATCACTGTTTCACACATATATATCTATTGAATAATATATTATTCAATAGTTATATAAGTGTGAAACAGTGATAAGTGCACTAAGGTCTATAGGCCTTGATACACTGCACACTAGCACATTTCAACGCACGTATCAGAACTGTATCTCAGTTAAGAAACGAATGTTTTTCGCAGAAATGTTGGTTTCTCAACTGAGATACTTGATTAAAATATGGATTGTATCTCAGGTGGGACGTTACGAAAAATTATAATTCCCTCTCTGCTCAATGGCTACGATTTTGTACCACGAGAAGAAATGCCAGGGAATAGGATCTTAAAAGCTTATGATGTTTTCGGGAAAATTTTATCTTTGTATATGGACTAGAAATTATATAATGGAAAGAGACTTGTCTATGTAGTAGTAAGGCAGGATCTCGTTAAAACGATTTTTTTGCACTTTTCTGCGTTATATTCTTCTACTATTCTACATAAAATTCTGCCAAAACGGTTTATAACATACTGCTTTTCGAGTTTTGCTATTACGAACTTTGATAACTCATAAACTGAATATGTGCGTGTGTGTCTGTTCTGTTATGACTTAGCCAGTTGATAGAGTTTGTTACTTCATTTCGAACAGTCTTTGTTTCGTTGACCTACGAATTCAAAGAGAGAAAAATAGAGACCATTTGTCTATTTTTCCAGTTAGCTAATTTGTTTATTCAATAATAGAAAAGAATACCGAAAATGATGAATAGTGGCAAATTTTGAACTTGATTATTAAAAATTTCTTAACAGATGAATTATTATAAACAAATGTTATTCCATTTTACAGGTTTGATATACTTTACAATTAATTAAAGCCATCTTTGTTCTCAAAAAGTAATGACATTATTCCATTTAGAAAGATACACTTGCTAATATTTTATTTAAAAAGTGTTTAAAATAATATAAAAAAAGAATCTGCTCGATAGACTAGAAAAAAAAAAGCATCGACTATCTTATCCCGATGGTACATTAGTGAAACTAATTGGTGAATGACAATTCCTATCTCTAATACGTGACAAAAACTTTCGTATGCTAAGAAACTTACTGTTATTCTAACTCAATTTTTGTACTTATTTATTTTGGTTTTTTTTCTTTGCATAATTTTTGTAATTCAACTTTTAATTTTTCTGCTTCAGCTAGGCCAATTTTTGATACATGACCATCGTGCAGAATATTTGGTTCTTGAAATTTTAAACCTTTTTTCTGTAAATTATCAATAAGACATTGTGCTTCAGGTATTGTACGTACGGCACCTTTTTTCATACAAATATCATTGCAAACAGCTCCACCTTTTTGATCACGTATATCGAAAACAATTGCACGTCCAAGTGCTTGTTGCATTTCTGACGTTAATACTAATTGAGTAGGCGTTTTTAATTCTAACCAACTGCTTTTAACATGGACTTGAACTTTACATGCTTTGGCCACACTTCCAATTGTTTTTAGATACGGATGAAATGATGCATTGGCAAATATTTTGCCACCCGAAAAATCTTTTCCACCTTTAAATGATTTAATAGTACATGTTGGTTTTTTATTAAACATAAAACCTTCACATATGGCAATAAATAATACCAAACTAATGAAAGATTTAACAAGCATTTTTTAACTGTAAAAGATAGGACAAAAGAGTTTCACTTGTAAATGCTTCTATGTTAGAGAGATACTCGACAGTTATATAAGAATTCAACAGAGAGAGAGAGAGAGAGAAAATCTAAGTTAGTAACACACCGAGGTGTTTTTTTTTCTTCTCCTTCTAAGATAACACGATGGATCAAATAACGCCTAGTGTTGATGGCAACGATTCGTTTCTTTTTGTTGAAACCATAGAACCAGAAAAGAAGAGAAGATAATGTATTCGATGCAGTACTACCATGGGATTGTTATTGAAAGTCCTTGATAGAGCAAAAAAAAACGAATAATACCCGATAACATTTTTGTAATTAAATCAACACAGTGATACTACCAACAAGAAATATATAGGCGATTCAATTTCATGAAAGACGAACTCTCATGTTGTGTTAAATACACAACGTTTTCCGTAAAATTTGGATATCCTGTAGTTTATGCTACTATATTTTTCTTTTCTTTGTGATTGAAACTATTCATTTTTTTTAGCTTAACATAAAGAAAAAACATTGAACAAATCTTAAGATAAGAAGAGACTACTAATTTCTTAGATAAATTGACTTGAACATAATTCTTTCCAATTGGTATATATCTCATTTGATACAAAATGTTTTGTTTATTTATTACCTACAAGATACATATGGAAAAACTAGATCGTATAATACAATACTGTCACATCAAATAATGTAAATGATACGCCACTCATTAACAACAAACTTACTAAAATATATGTACTTAACACAAGAACAACATGAATTTTTTAGTTGGCAGATAAAAACAATTTTTGTTTTCTTCTGACATTTAATCTTCTCATGGAAAACTAATTGTTATTATTGTTTCCACAACATTTTGGTATAGAATATGTAAAATGGATAAATTTGAAAATGAATTCAATTTTATATTTATTAGTATTTGTTTTTCTAATAAGTAATTCTAATCAAACAAGATTATTAACTCATATTCAAAAATCTTATTATTCAGCATTTGTTAATCGTGTAGCAAGTGGATTTCATTCATTATGGCGTATTACATATCTTGAACAATATCCGTGTGTTAAAAATCGTTTTAAATTAACGAATGATAAAATATATAAGGCTAATTTTACTAAACAAGATTTTATTTATCCAATGATAATTAGTGTTACTGATAGATATATTAAAGTTAAAATACATCAAAATATGAAAATTGGTATAAATGAAGAAAATGATAAAATGTACATTGATATTTTTAATATGATTTATTCAGAATTACCATCCGATTGGAGAAAAGAAAATCATGATACAGCATCGATAGCTTGTTATCTTGTATTAAAATCAATATTTTATCAACAAAAATTTACACAGGAATATATTGAAGATATGACAATTAAAATACATGATGAATGGATAAAACGAAATAAAAATCGGACAAGTTCACATTTAAAATTACCCTATCATCTATTATCTAGTATTGAAAAAAAAAAAGATCGACAAGCAATTTTAATTGCGATCCAAATATTTCGTTTTTATAGATTAGATAGAATATTCAATACAACAAGAATTGAATTCGTATGAATAAAATATAATATGAATACTTTATGTTTATGGATACTATTTAAATTAGCATCAAATTTTCTAGTCTTTTATACGAATGAAACAGATAAAGATGAGTAGAAATTAATTCTATTTAATAACCTCTGTAGTTTAAGTATGAACTAGAAATAGTAAAAATTTTATAATCATTTAAAGATACTATTTTGTAATATTTGCGTAATATTTCATCGTTTCCGAACCCCACCTTGATTTCTCTGAATCATCTGGTTTAACCTCGTTGTATCTCACATATAAACATACACCTTGTCCTCTTTTCCCATTATCCGTTGAACTTTAACGCTTCATTTTTCATGCTCAAAACACATTTTTTTCTCGCCTCTTTTGCTATGCTATATTGTTGCTAAAGAGTATTTCCTTGATAATCTATTATATATTTAAACAAAAAAGAGTCAAATTTTATTATGATGATTCTACATGTTAATAAAATTTGTGCAATGCAAGATCTCATTATCTAACGATGTGTGGAAATTACTTTGATTTTGTAAAATATTTATTTATCTCTATTGTTCTCTTCCTATCGTTTTATCCCCATGGAAAGATCATGTAATCTATTGCAAATAAAAAAAAAGCTTAGTTTTGTTAAATACATATTTGTCTGATATAACGGGCGCATTGAGTCGAATTGTTTTCATGTTTCTGACTTTTCTCTATTGCAATCTGTTATCATCTGTTGGTTTTTTGCTCGCATTTCCTGCTCGTTCTTTTTCCAGTAACGTAACGTAACGTGACATACAACAATATCTAATTAATGTCACTAATCGAATTTTTATCCATATTTCCATGTATATGGTGCCTTTTATATGCAAATGAATCAAATGATTTTTGTAAAAAAGATAAATATTTAATTATAAATAAAATTGCTGCATTATTTCATAAACAATGGCAACAAGTATATCGTCAACAAAATCCAAATATTAAAACAAATTTTAAAAAAACATTGGATAAAGATTTCATAGATAATATAAAAATGACGATTAAATTTAATAATGAACAATTCAAAAACGTATCTAATGAATTATATCTTTACTTATCGATTGATGGTAAAATTGGACGATCATTAACATCTCCTGATACTTATTATGTTGATATATTAAATATGGATTATTCAGAATTACCAATTGATTGGCAAAATGAAAATCGAGCAACAGCAACAGCTGGTTTTGATATAGTAATTCAAACGTTACAACATGGTGAAAATATAGATACGGTAATAGAAGAATTAGCTGGACAAATTCATGAACTATGGATATCAAGAAACAATAGTACAATTAATCAAGAATTACAAAAACCTTATCAAGAATTAGGAGATATTGAGAAAGAAAAAGATCGAAATGTTATTAGAATTGCGAATCAAATTATTGAACAAGACTGTTAACATGTCAATATCTTTATCATTTAGATTGGTTTTAGTCTTCTTCGGCATTTAAAATTCGTTCATTCTGTTATACCAGTGTTCCTATTTAAATTTGTAATCCTTTGTGATCTATTTAATATTTACTTGTGATCAATGATAGAAATTCATTTTGTTTAACTTTCATCTTTCCTTTTTTTTTCAGGGCATCACAACTCATCATCATTATCGTTTTTTCTTTTTTCATTTTTTATGTGTTTTATTAGATAGTTTAACGAGGATAAAAAAACAAAAATTGTATTTAAATTTTATCTGTTCTTCTTTTTCTTTTTTAGTTGAAAATTGAAATGAACTATGACGCGAATGCCAATTTTTCTGTTTAATATGAAATTGATCTTTTAATTATCTAAAGAATGTTAGTTTAATAGTATATACCCACATCCATTAAACAGATAGATTCTAAAATTATTTTCTTTTGTTTTTCTGTGTCATTTTTGTTTTGATTTTCTTTTGTTTCGGTTTTAAAGGTAAGTCAACATTTTAAACAGTCATAATGAAGTAAAAATTATTTTCACTACAAATTGTGTTTTGATTAATCAGAAAATCTTATTTTAACAAAGGAAGTTTCCAAAAATACTGTATATGACAATACATGTTATTGTAAAATCATACTTAAACAATTCTACCGTTTCTGTTAATACATAGGTCATAAAAATTTAAAGTAAAAAAAACCCTTAAGTTCTATAATAGTATTGAAATTGTTAAAACTATTGTATCTCATTGGAAAAATTTAATAATTATCATTGATACAGTCAGTAATCGTCAAAAGTATTTCAATTCTTTGATCCTCGACACATGTACATTCTGAAAAAATCCAACTTGTGTTATCCTGTTTCATCTGTCTTATTTTTCATTGAGATGCACCTGACAGTTACAGTTACAGGATTTGACAGTGTACTATTCATTTCAATAGCTGTTAGGCTTCCACATTTATTTGTCAAACGTGGATAGAGACAAAAGGTACTCCACCAAAGTAGGAGTATCCCTGGATCTCAAGCATCCTAATTGCTAATGCATTGACATCGTGTATAGATGTAGGCCTACACATATGCTGATCACCTAACCCGTTGGGAGGCTCTATGGGTTTCATGTTTTTTTCGTAAAATCCTAATAATTTCTGATCCAAAGAAGCAAAACTGAGCAAGGCAAGTCAAGTCAGAGTTAACTTGGTCGAAAAATGTTTTAGGTATGACTTGGCTTGAGACATTTTTGTTCGTGACCGTGATTGGACTTGAAAAACTTTTCAAGTCAAGTCATTTCTAGTAAGAGGTTTTTGTTTAAATTCCCCATTTTTTACCATGAAACAGAGTGAAACTATAAAAACTGCATCTCACCCAAAGCAAATTTTATGTTCGGTCTACTTTTAAATCAGACTTGACTTGACTTGGGAGAAAAAATTTTCTCATCTCGACTTGACAAATTTTTTAGTGACTTGACTTATGACTTGCCCAGTTTTGAAAAGGAGGTGACAATTTTTCTTTTTTAACAAAGTGTAACAATGAGTTTCCTCTATCTACTATACGAATTTAAGGTGTTGGATGTTAATGGTTACTGGAATACAACTATTTTACGATCGAGAGTCCCATTCAAAATTCGAATTTTATCGCAAATCTATAGGGAAAAACCTAGTAGGCGAAACATCGTCAGGAAGATTTCACCCTCATCCTCATCACGGGAAAAAATTTTCGATGAAACTTTTTTGTTCGTTAAACACATGTCAAATACGGTATTCGATACTGTTTTGTCTGCTGATCTCAAATATGCTGTTAATTTTGCTGGAAAATATATGGAAATTGAAAAAGACGCAAAATATGTAAAGTATGATATATGTGTTAAACAGGAAGCCTTAGGGTTAACTTGTTGTGTGCGATTATCTAAGTACGATGAAAACCAAACAAAAGCAAATTTTTCTAACGTTTTAACTCTGACATTGTTCAATTTTGTAATGAGGATTAGAAAGAGAGTTTTATCAAACGCCTTGATGAAGTCATATGAAACTCCGATAGAGAAATACAGACACTTTTTTATCCACTCATTTGGAAGATTTTATGAGTTAAATAGCCGAGTGCATCAACACCGAAGGATTTTGTATGGAAAACCAAACCGACAACTATAAAAAAATTATTTTTATTTAAATGCTTGGATAATCTATTATGAATGATTTTCTCAAAAAGTGAGAGGGGGACAAATTTTATGATAAAATATGACCGTTAACCGAATTCAGATTTATTCATATGGTAGATACAATGTGAGTAGGTAACTCGAACTGGGCGTCGTCGAAACCTTAGAACTACTTCTCAAGGGAAATTTTGTCGCTTGAATATTTTCTCGGCTCGAAATCTAGTGAAAACTGTGTTTTATCGTTCCATTTCACAGTTAATCACACGTATTATATACCATTTGAAAGATACTTACCACCATTACATCCACATTCGATGCCAGAGACGAGGCTTGCCTCATTTTGTAGAGCTCAACGAGCTGAATCGAATGGAGAAAACCGCAAATCTCCGAGCGACTCGAAAAAAATGTCATTGGCATTTTCCTCTCCCAGTGGAGATGTGCAGTTTTCGTCATTTTTCAGCGGATTTGGCCTAACTTGTGAAATATCTCCTAACCGCATTTTCTAATCTAGAACCCTGAGCATAGTTTCATATGAAAGAGCACATCAAACCCTATATACTTAGGGCATACCAAAAGTAATGACGCCATCACTTTATTTCCTTATAGAAAGCTTGAAGAAATTTTCTTTTTTTATGCAATTACAGACAAAACGATGCTCTATTTTTCTATGCTATTTCATCACTATTCAACT